AGCATGGCCATCCCCTCTTGGGGGTGATTTCTCTCCCAGACCCGGTGGCTTAAAATTCACGCCGGGCGCGTGTGCATGTGTTCCCAAGATCCCAAGAGGAGAATGGAGGAGAAGGGATTGCGGTGTGGCCATCCCCTCTTGGGGGTGATTTCTCGCTTTCTGTCTCTCTGTCTCTCTCTGCCTGTTTGGTGAGTGCACGCACCCTATAGCAAAAACCTCTCAAAAAAAAAAAAAAGGGTTTATTGGGATGTAACTCCATTATAATTTGAGGAGCATCTGTAATTTACATCTGTCCTACTGACCTATAATTACCTTTCTTATCCATTAACTTAGCTAGGCATGGCCCATATGCTAATGCACTTTATCTTCCCAGCACTTATCAAAGTAATTGATAAAAAACACACATTCCACAAATGATGAATAAAAAACCACTTAATGGTTTTAGGGAGGGGAGGTTAATCAAGGAATCATCCTACAAGTGGTGTTTGTTTGTTTTTTAATAACAAGTTTTTCCTGATTATAAAAGTATTAAGTTGTTGGAAAAGTCGTGATGTATTTTTCTATATTTTTCTGTGCAAAACTGCATCATGTTCATGTTCACTGTAGAAAATCCAGAAAGTATTAAGAAAAATACAAATTATCTTGATCTATCCAAGAAATAATTACTATTATCATTTCCTTCTAGTTTTTTTCTATTGAGAAGTTATCTCTGCAGCTGAAATTTCATTATTTTTAATGTCTACGTAATATTCCATCGATGGATATTACAATTTTTCCCTTTCTATTTTTACTATCATAGATACTGCATTAATAAGTCCTTTCTGTTTATATTTTTCCCAAAAAATTTCCATAGACTATATCCCTAAACATGGAATTATTTGGAACATTTTTTAAAGAATGATTTAGGGAGGAGGCGGATGGCGCGGGCATGGATGGAGAGTGGGCCTCCCTGACCCGGTGCCCAAGTGGTGGAGTCGAACACATGTCACCTTCATTTTATTCATCTCCCTCTGCTTTCACTCCTCGTCATCTAATACTTGAAAGTATCGCTGCTCGTGCTTGCTGCATTTTAAACTCACGTGATAATCAGCCAGCGGTAGCTTTATTTGTATAAACTCATATTTAAAGAAGAAAGAAATGGCCTGTGATGAGTTTTCTTTTTTCTTTTTTTTTTTTTTTTTTTTGCTATAGGGCACGTGTGCTAGCCAGAAAGACAGAAAGAGGCAGAGGGACAGAAAGAGAGAAATCGCCTCCCCCCTCAGGGGGGATGGCCACGCCACAATCCCTTCTCCTCTCGGGATCTTGGGCACACATGCACACGCACCTGGCATGAGTTTAAGCCACTGGGTTCGGGATTTGAGCCACGGTCGACTACATGGAGTCCAGTAACATAGCTATTACGCCAACTGCTGGTCCCATGTGCTGAGTTTTCTTTTCATATGCCAAGTCTAGAGGAACTTGCTGGAGTTTTGCAGAAGGAGCTAAAAACCAACTTTGTTGATGTCCAGATGTCCAGTCGACAGGTGATTGCCCTGATTTGACCAAGGGACCGTTCATCTTTCCTGTAAAAGGTATCTGTGGTAAAACTAGAATTGCAGAAGTAGGCAGTATGCCTTACTTATTGCTTCTTATAAACCAAGACAAAGTTTATGATCTGAATAAGATTGCCAAAGAAATTAAACTGTCTGGAGCTTTCATTCTTGGAGCACGGGCAGGCCCATTTCAGACTCTTGGATCCAATTCCGAGTTCATGGCAGCCATTCAAACAGCAAGGAACACAAACCTCCTGTGAACAGAAGTTACTCTACACATATTAACCCTGCAGATGGAAGGTGCCTATTAGAGAAATACAGTGAAAATAATCATGATTTTTTTTTTTTGAGAGATTTTCACTATAGGGCACGTGCGCTCGCCAGACAGAGAGAGACATAGAGACAGAAAGCGAGAAATCACCCCCCAGGGGGGATGGTCACGCCGCAATCCCTTCTCCTCCATTCTCCTCTCGGGATCTTGGGCACGCGCGCACACGCGCCCGGTGTGAGTTTTAAGCCACCGGGTCCGGGATGTGAACCGTGGTCGACTACGTGGGAGTCCAGCAACATAGCCATTATGCTAACTGCTGGTTCCCCAACATCATGATTTTAGATGTGCATTACTGGTTAATCTTTTTGCCAGTGAGGGCCAACCTGGCAAGGTCATTGAGGTGAAAGCCAAAAGAACCAGATAACCTAGCTTCGTGACTTGCATGAGAGAGACGCTGGAGAACCATTACGGAGATAAGCCTGTGGGCATGGGAGATACTTTCATAGTTCAGAAGGGAAAAATGAAGACACACATTATGCCCCCCAAATTTTCTTCCTGCACACTGAACTCTTGATGAAGAGGTGAATAAATGGTTACATTTTTATGAGATGAAAGCTCGTTTGGTTTGTCCACCAGTGTTTGTCTCCAGAGACCCAGGGTTCGACTTGCTACTGGCACATACTCAGTCTTTCAGCCATCATGGAGAAGGTGGACACCACCATTATGATACTACCCCAGAAACAGTGGAGTATCTTGGGTACTTTCTACCTGCAGGGAGTCCCTGTTGAATTGATCAGCCAAAAGAGACCCATTTAATTGGCCAAAATTAAAATCAATTACTCATTAGAAGAAATAATTAAATGACACGGGCATACATAGGCAGGTCCAGCCGTACTCAGGGAGGTCTCCTGACACAAACCTGAATTGTTCCTGCAAGGTCAGCCTCACAGAGTGTGGCAGCTTACTGCTGTGCCATGCGCTGACCCTCTCACCTCATCCTGCACCTCAATTTTCTTATCTATAAAATGAGCGACGGTTGACCAGCTCTGAGGCACAGCTGTGGAGCACGGCTCAAAAGAAGCCAGATCCCACGAGGTGACTGCATTTTGAGTTCCTGGCCAGCTCAGCCTGATGCACGCCAGGCTGGAGCACAAACGTGAGTGCCCAGGAGCCAAGCGACGGAGGAAGGGAATCAGAGCATGACCAGATCCTGTGAAGGATGTTTGTTTCTCTCGCTCCCTCTCATGAGTGCACGGCCCATGATCAATTATGAATAAAGAAAACAATTGAATGAGGGATTTGGGTTGAATGGATTAACGTCTTTTTTGCTCAGCCCACCATATTTCTCTGCGCGTGCTCTGTGTTACCCTCTCCTGACTCTGAGGGGCTAGGCGTTTGACACAGTCAGTCTTCCTTCCCTTTGGTTGCATAGTCCCATCAAAGTGCCCCAATATTTGTGTAATGAGACAGCAGAACCTAGAGGTTCAGAGCACAGGCCAATTTGCTTGTATTTAGTTTTTGCTACAGCACAGAGAACTGAGCAGAGAACGACAGAGACATGGAGGGAAAGTGAGAAATCAGGAGAGATGGCCACACCAATCCATTTTCCTCTAGGGATTTTGGACACACAGGACTCACATAGCATGTTTTTCAAGCCAGTGGTCCGGTCAGCCGTGTGGGATCCAGCGGCCTTAACCACCACACTACCAGCTAACTCCACAGACCAGGTTTGAATCTCAGCCCTGCCACTTAACAGCTGTGTGACAAATACTTAACTTCTCCCCAGCTCAGTCTCTCCATCTGTAAGTGAGGTGAATAATAGTTCCTACCTTGTAGGGTTGTTCTGAGAAGTAAATGAGTTCATGTTTCTACAACACTAAGAACAATTCCTAGCACATAGTTTAAGTGAATAAAATTTAGCACCTAAACTCTGAGTCTCTTCAGGGCTACAATAGTGTCTTCACTGGCAATCCCACCTTTGAATGTGTCTCTGCTCTTCTTCTTAAACCCCAGAGATCTGATTCCTAAATCTCTCTGCTTAAAAGCCTCCTAGAGATAGGGCTGGCAGGTGGCCTGGTGGTTAAGGATGCTGGATTCCCACATGGCTAAGCACGGTTCAAGTCCTGACCTGGCAGCTTCCTTTCTCACTTTCCCTTTCTCTCTCTGTTTCTATCTGGTCAAACTGAAAAATAATAACGAATGTAATTAAATAGATAATTCTTTAAAAAAAGAAAAGAAAAAAGAAGAAAGAAAAAGGAAAGCCTCCTAAGGCTCCCAGGTGGCTCCAGGCTAAAATACCAAGGCTTCAGCTTATAGACTTGGGCTTTTCACAGATGCCGCCTAAATGTCATGATCCTAGTTTATTTTTAAAAGCAACAACAAAAAAATTTTAAAAAAAACTAAAACGGACAAACAGAATTACAAAACTTGTGAAACATTTTTAATGTTATACTGAGCAAATTAAAGCATTAACAACCCCAGCAGCAAACCTAGTAAACCATAATTATGTTGTTCACAAGATAATTGCAATGCAAGTATTCTCACACTGCTAATACTTCAGGCAGCACAAGAGGAACCGTGCAGCAAGGAAGCGGGATTTCCATCCCTGAAGGGTCGGGGTCTGGAGACCTTGACGAAGGAGTCTGCTGCCTACGACACGTGGCCCCTGGGGTAGCCTCCACCGCCTAGGGAGCCTTGGCCCTGGGACGGCCCGGCTCCCCGGACAAACCCGGCCAATGGTGTGCACCCTCTTCCCATGGTGCGGCCTAACCCGACCGGGTCACCCCTCAGGTACCCCAGCCCTAGAGTGTAAGCTAAGGCAGGCAGCCCTTCCTTCTGCACGCTGCTCTCATTCCCCGCTGTCCCGGTCCTGGTCCTTCCATCTATCCACTCCGGGAGCTCGCGCCCCGCTCCCGCCGACTGGCACTCGGGCCTCTGCCGTGGCTAGCCCGGGCCCCGCACACAGAAACCTGCACAGGAACCGCGCTATGCGGTCTGCAGTGACCCTGAGAAGTCGCCGGACTCTGGGCTGGACACCAGTCAGAAAGGGCATCGGCCGCGACCCCTTTAAGGAGCCCGCGAGGGGGCGCGCATCCACGCCTCCCGGAGTTGCCCAAGTCCCTCCCAGAGCGCCGGACTCGCGGGCCGGCGGG